GGGCTGTCCCCCCCAAGCCAGACACCCCAGGAGGGCATGTTTTTCCAAATTCCCCCTAAAAACCCCCCCCCCCCAGTCACCATAAAAAGTGTCCCAGAAGTCGGGGGGGCTACCGCGCAGGTGGGAGCTCCCAGCTCAGGCCCTCTTCCTCACCACATGGTTTTCCGGATCTCCCCCAGGGAGCTCAGCCCCCATCCGCTGCCCTAGGATCACACAGGTGAGCAGGCGGGGTTTCCTAGAGCTGAGAACCCTCCTCCAAACCTGCCCGGAGCCACAGGAATGGTGGGAAGGAACAGATCGAAGCTGAGGCCGGCCGTCCTCAGTTTGTTCCTCTCCCAACACTCCTCCACCCTCCTCTCCACCAACCTGATTCCTTCAGCCGCTTGCCCAGTGGGGGTGAAGGAGGGAGTAGGGGCAACCGCCTCCACTCCTCCTCCCCACACACGCACATAACCCTCCCTCCCCCAAGGTGCAGTCTTGGTGCGGGGGGCGGAGAGCAGCCTTGCAGATCCTTCTGCCTTAAGGCCTTGCAAAGGCCAGAGTTTCCTCCTGTCAGTCCGTGATCTTCTAGCTATCTGCCTGCTTATCTGCCACTTCCTCTCCACCTCCATACACAGGTGCAGACCTCCCTTCATCCCCCAGTGCCCTGAGCACAAACCTCCCCCGTCCCCCCGTCCAGCATATCTGGACATAGAGACCCCCTTTGAAAACCTGTGGAAATTACAGCTCACAGATGTTCCCCTATCCCTCCTCACACTTGACCCTCCCTCCAACCGTGGAAGGCAGCTGCTCTTATGCCCCGTTTTACCGATGGGGGAATTGAGGCCCAGACGGGAACTGAACGCCAGATTTTGAACCCCCCCAAGGTACTTTCCACCCCACTTCACAGAAAGGAGGGAAGTGAGCAAATCTTTTCCCTCCTGACTGTTCAGAAAACCTGCTTGCTGCTCCTGGAGTCAGCACTTTCTCCCGCCATGCCCATTCAGTCCCCTAGTGAAGGCTTCGGGCAGGGAGTGGCACCACAACCCCAACATGGAGACGTGGAGGGCAACAGAAGCTGAGCCAGAGTCCTTGTGTGCCCCCACCCCATCCCCTCTTCAGTCTCCCCCATGAAGGGCGTGTGGAAGAGGAAACAGTAGTCTCAATCTGCCTTTCCCTGGGAGTATGCGTCATTGCCCTCTGGGTTCCTCTCCCCTTCTAAATGGAGGTAAAACTCCAAAATGAGCTCTCCTGTGCCTTGTTCCCTCAGTCCTCCTCTCATCATTCAATAAAATTATCATCACTGAAGGCTCATTCCCAGGGCCTTGCTTGATGCCTGACACTCAAAGTATCCTTTGTCTGGTCTGGTTATTTGGGGGTGGGGTGTGAGGAGCAGTTCCTGGGGCTTTGCTTTCATGGGGAAGGATTAGTGTGTCTAAGAGGTCCACATAGCTAGTTCAGGGGTTTCCTCTCTTCTTGACTTCTAGCACTGCACCAAGCTACAGAGAGGGGATGGGAAAGAGCTGCTAATATTATGCAATTAAGGGTGAGAAAGCTCCCAAGGTAGCATCTGTGGAAGGAAAACGGGGAGAACACACCTAAGCTCCTGCCCACACACCTCAGTGAGGTGGGCTTGTCCTGTATATACCTCCCAACAACTGTGGCCATTATCCTCCTCAACTCCCCTGGCCCCAGTTGAGAGGTTCCCTATATAGCCACAGGGGATCTTGGTGTTGTCTAGCAGCCCGCACCGCCTGTACCACACTTTTGGTGGGCTCTAAATTCTCAGATTCCAATAAGTCCTAGCCTAAACCTTTCCATCAGAGTGAATAGCTTCAGGCATCTAAATCTGATCCCTCAAAGTTTAGGACTCACCTGTAAACCACAATGGCTGGGCCTAGAAAGGAGGCAGAACC